ACAACATTCACATTAATGAGACCAATCACAGACAACTTTCACGTTAATGAGACCAATCACAGACAACTTTCACATTAATGAGACCAATCACAGACAACATTCACGTTAATGAGACCAATCACAGACAACATTCACATTAATGAGACCAATCACAGACAACATTCACGTTAATGAGACCAATCACAGAGCTAAAGATCGTCCGCACTGTGAACCGTCTCAGACCATTTAGAGAAATTCTTCACATATGTATGATTTAAGCTGTATTTGTGAAAATGATGGATTTTTGCAGCCGACAGTTGGTCCACTTTAGGGCTGTCCTGACAGACCTGTATCACCGTTAATCGTGATGTAAAAAAAAAATGAAATATTGACATATTAATCATATACATGATAATATGGTGTAAATAATACAGTACCTCTGAAATGGTTACAGACCATCTCCATCTTGTATTTTGAAGCAAACATTTGCAAAAAATGTGAAAAATCAACCAATAAACAAACTTAAAGATGAATCTGACTGATAGCATTCTTACCATTATTAAAAACATTCTTACATGGAGACAACACCGTTATAAATTATTTTGGCCCCCCGATAATTGTGGTGTGAAAACCTGATATTGGTTTATGACAGACTGTACTACGAGCAGGGGACTCATGATGCACCAGTGTTGACGATAACTGTGATATTTTAAAAATGAAATATTGATATGTTTATGACAATATCATGTAAATAATTCAGCGCCTCTTAAATGATTACACAATCTCACTTCCTTAGTTCATTTGTCAAAAAAGAGACTGAAATGTTCTATAGATATCCCAACAGCATCATTATTATGAATTGTTTTGGTCGTGATAATAGCGTAACATAAATCCTGCTCACACACTTGTTCTGGAGCTTTGGACAGTGTCATAAGTGGACCTTATTCTGTCAACTCTGGATCTGTTAATGAATTCTCCTCACACGTGTTGTTCTGCTCCCCTGTTATTGGTGCCATCTGTTGTTATTGTGCAGCCCACTGTATGCAGGTGAAGGCACAGGTCTTAAAGAGAAACAGTTGCTGTCCAGCAGGAGGCAATACACCCTCAGTGAGTAACCCTGACATGCTGTGTCATATCCTCATCACTCACTGATTAACGCTGCAGCTCTGTGCCAGCAGAACTAATCTGTACACTGGTGAAGAACAACACATCCCTGCTCATGTCCACATTCCCACACTGCACTGTGTGACCTGATCTACAGCACGTTACACTGTAGCACTCACTTTATGGACTCCAATTCATAAGCAGCTGCTCTTCTAAAGATAAACTCTAAGTGGACAAATGCTACAATATGCTGCAGAACACAAGAGCCCTCTGAGTCTTTCAACACATGCACATAGTGAACCACACCAACTGCTTTTCAACGTCGACACTCCTCTTTTAGTGGACACTATTTCCACTCATGTCACTTAAGCACATGCTGAGCCGTTGGGCTAACCAATATAGAGCTGCCTCAGGCCACGTCCACACTACTCCGTTTTTGTTTGGAAACTCATATGTTTTGCTACATTTACACTGAGCGTCCACACTACGCCGGCGTTTTCGAGCACCGAAAACGGAGGAGTTTGAAAACGTCAGGGTTGCATATTCGTGTGGACAGTCGAAAACGGATACGTTTGGAAACGATGACGCCCACACGTTCGCTACTTGATTGGTTCTTAGCAGTCATGTCCTTCCCTGATTCGTCACAGCTATCAAGTGACCGATTCCCGAAAGTCAAACAACAACATTGATTACCGAACGACTACCAGGTTAATTTAACATGAACAACTGATTACAGATGTTGCTGACCTTGTTGTCTTGAAACAGCTGTTGTGCAGTTAAAGTCTGCACTAGTACGGAGGAAGCAGCTGTTATTGGAGCGATTAGTGAGCTGCGTGTCCAGCGGCGTTATCAGCCCTACGGAGCGAGCGTCTGAAGTCACGGTTTGCGGCTTTAGGGAGGGTGATGGACACAAAACGGAAGACTTTCCTGTCCTTATTAACGCTTATTTTGTTCTACACATCTATTGTGAAGTCCGCAGATAAAATGTAAAAGGAACAAAAGCAGTAATTTCTCTCCAGTAGGACAGAGACTTCAGCCACCAGCAGAGCTACGAGTGAGAACAGACAACACCACCACCGAGGGAACGAGTGAGAGACCTGTGAATTTGATGTGAGAGAGAGATAGAGCAAAACCCGCAGCGCTGTAACTAACGTCAAGTCTGAAAATAAAACTTCCCACGAACTGTGTCTGTTTGAGTTTATAGAGGAAGATTTTAGAGAAGATCTTAAGTATCAAACACGACCTTTCATTATTAAAGACTACTTTATTACTCTGTCGTATTTTTTTTAACTTAGCAACCAATCTACTTCCTGTTTACATCGGCAACCACGTGCATGCCCAGTGTACGTGATGAGTCACGTGATATTCATTTTCAGGCGTGTTAGTCTGGACGGAGATCAATTCGAAAACGATGCTGAAACGCCGTGTGGACGGAGATCGCTTTAGTTTTAAACGGAGTCGTGTTGATGTAGCCTCAGAGCTCGTGTACGCTGAAGTGATGAAAGCCTGGCCGGCTGTCTGAAGGGAAACACACCGTTTCACTAAATGCATCCCATATTAAAACAAAGTCAATTTGGGAAAAAAGGACTTTAATAGATATTTTAACAATATTTAAAACCATTAATTTACTAATGATTTAGCCGAATGTATTCCATAACTATGAAGTCAACACCCTCTTAAGAATAATTAAGAACACTTTGTATTTCAAAGCCTCTATTGAGGGTTTTTTAAGTGAAGCTTGGAATGCCCGTCACATTTTATGACACCAAATAAAAATAAAAAATAAAATAGATAGTGTTATTGTGGTTCCATAAACGTAATTCATGTGCTGCTAGACTGCTGTTAGTCGGATGCTTGCTGGTCAGCAGGAGAGCAAACAGTGAAAATGTTGTTTCAAAAGGCTAAATGGCAACAAATAAGGACTGAAGCTGAACGTTTTGTTAGATAAAAATATGAATTTTGGAAATGATTACATCCATCTTTTATTTAATAATTCTTAAGTTTACAAAACGCTCTTTGAGTTATTAAAAATGTTCACACAAGTGAGGAACAATCGTACGCAGCCACCACTGGATTCTAGTTCTACAAATAGTAGAATACTGACAGTGGAGCCTGATCTTTATCTGAAACTGCAGGAATACCGGCTTTAAACAGAATGAACTGACATGCAAAAATAAGAAACACTTCATTTCTGAATGTCAACATCATGAATTATGCTTCCAACTTGTCGGTGCAGCACTAACACAAGTATGAAGTAAAGGACTCTGGGTGGAAGTCTGTGCTGGTTCATCACTTTCAGCCTCGTTTCTTGGACATGTCACACTTATGGATGACTGGAGATAAATTGCGACGGGTCTTATTGGACAAATACTGTGGGCCTCGTCCTCCACCTGTTTCCTTTGTTTGCTTCTGGTCTGCTGTATTGTGTTTTAGCACCAACTTTAATATCAAACCTTTTCTTTTTTTTTTTTTTTACCTGGGCCACAGTCCGTATCCTAGGAGACAACATTCACCATCATTGTGGCTCCTGTGGAAACTCTTCACAGAAGTGTTTCTGCCTCCACCTCGCGCAAAGTCAACTAAACCTAAACTTTAAACTAATTTAAACTATTTAAAACTTTAAACAGTAAGTAAGAACATGCACACATGAGGCCCATGAGGGCCAATGACTATTTGTCAAGGAGTGTTTCATGCCAACGGTTGGACCTGAGCTGCTCCACTGAACAGTAGAAGCACGCACGCACGCACGCACGCACGCACAGTTATTGTTGCTGCAGTAGAGTAGAAACTGCATGTGTGGGTACGTGAACAGCGCTCGTTAGTCTTCTCATTAGCATAATCCCCAATTTACCCTGAGTATTAATGCCACTTCAATCCCATGATCCTCCAGGACACGGAGGGGAGAGACAGAGACGGAAACTCACACTGGTGAGCTCTTGTTGCCATGGTGAAGGGTCAGCCACAATGTCACCAGAGGGGCCAATCCACTTTTCCAATGTGTGTGTGCGTGTGTGTGTAGAGAGGAGGTGGAGAGTGTTTACTTTTGATAAAGGCGCCTTGCGGTGTCTGTGGACTGTCACAACAACACATGTTGCTTAATACAGAGTGCTTCATTAAAGGAGCATTCCTCTGATGTTACACATGATGATGATGGGTACTACTAGAAATTATAAAAACTGTTTTATTATGTCTTCTGTGGCTCTGAGGGAGGAGCTTAATTAAGTCTGGAACAATACCCATGATGATGTCATAGTGATGAGGGATGGGTATCGTTAGGATTTGATCAATACTAGTACTCTCATCGATTACTCTTATATTGTGAGAAAAAAAGATAATTAATAAACAAAATGAATCGACATTAGTCTTTCTTGAGCAGCAATGCAAGAAGTTCCAAAATCTTTAAAATACATTCACAGCCAAACAATTAGCTCAGTGATTATCCCCAGTTACAAACTGAGCACTGAGCATCAAACACATGATGCATCATGGAAAGTGTAAGATCCAGTGTTTTTGGATCTTGACCCAAACTTGGAGCTGAAGTCAGGGGATCTCTGCTTCTGCTCTCGATTCTCAATTCTGAGCAGCTTTTAAATCTGTGTCTCAAACTTTATGAACGCGTAATATTTAATGCTACAATACCCTTTAGAAGTGTTTGATTAGTATAGTCATAACTAGTCATAGTACCATTATCAGCTGGGATTAAGGTTGTCCTCTGTTTTATCACGTGATGCAATGTTGCTGGGCTACCTTGATGTGAACTGACCAACACTGCATTAACTGTCAATGGGACATGAGTGTAGAAGAGTCTCTTCACCAGTCTAAACATACATGATGTATTCTACAGTAAAGAGAGACATGTGACGCAGGTCTCTGCCTAGAATCGATCCACCGACGTGGCAGTTACAGTATGCGCTGTAACTAAAAGTTACAAATGTTTTATAACACGTGTGTTTTGGAGTTTAACAGTGCAGTCTTGAAACAGGAAACACATGAAGACAGACGGAGTGCTTCACAACACTGTCCAGAACTTCTAATCTGCTACCAGGAATGTCCAGAGAGAATCAGTGGGGCTTTTCCAGGCCACTATCTGTGTGTGTGTGTGTGTGTGTGTACTAACCTCCTCCTCCTCCTCCTCTGATGCTCTCTCTGACACTGGCTCAGGAAGAGGTCCTACGGGGGAAAAGAAGAAACTTCATCCATATTTACTCCAGTCGGTTCAAACCAGATGTCTGATCATTATGTTCCTGATCTTTTTACACTGCTATGGTAAACACACAAGCGTCATCTTTTACAAAGCCACAGTGTGATCGGTGTGTGTGAGAGCGTCCGTGTGTCATACCGCTGACGTGTTCCTCCGTGGGCAGGACGTTGCATCTCTTAAAATAGTCGTCGGCCTCGGCGTCCACCAGCAGCAGCGTGGTCTCGTCTCCTCCCGCCTTGATGGCCGCGACCACCTCCGAGTGCTGCATGCCGATCACTGTCATGCCATTGACCTGAGGCAGGAGAGAAGAGGAGAGAGGAGACAGGAGAGTTCACTCTCTGACTCTTGCTACACTGGATGTGTGTTTTTCCACACAGTTCTAAAGCGCCAAGTCTCCAATTATTTTGTCAAAGACAGATTGTGGTCACAAGGTGTTGCAGTTCAGAAGCACTTCAGCTGGAACAAACCTACACGTGATCAGACGAGCTACCAGCTCTGATGATGTACAACTGGTGACTGGTGACAGTAAAGTAAGGAGCTGTTCAACATTAAAGGGAATTACTAAATAGCTGCAATAGTTCTAATTGTATAAACTGTTTAATTAATGACTAAAAGTCATTTCAACTCTCTTTTTTGGTCATTATATACATTTCTTTTTCCTAAATGCCCTTTCTCAAACGTCTGTCATCTGTTTGGAGACTTACTAATAATCACCACTTTGCATCATCACTGACAGCAGAACACACTGGAGGGCAAATATATTGCACTGTATTGTAAATGTAGTGTGTTTGTCCATCTAGCCTCAGAGGTTTTCTAACTGTAGGGTGAGTTCAAAGTCAAAACTCACATGATACACAGACTTTTAGCTTCATTAAGAACCCGGCTCTACCCATCAGCTAACTGGCAGTTGGTGAGTCTGCTGAGAGGCTGGAGCAACGTGATGGGCTGAAAGAGGATCATTCATTTAATCATGTCCTATTCATATATTTAATACTGAACGCTGCTCTCCATAGCTTAGAGCGGGACATGTTCTCACATTAGAGTTATTGGTAACTATAGTGTACTCGGCCTTTTCTATTCTTTTTCTATTTAAGATAGCATCAGAGGCAGCATTACAACTATGTGACACTACAGCTGATCACATAATAACAATGACTAGCACTCCAAACATTGGCCATAAACTATAAGGTATCACTGATTATTCCCACTAAGTAAGTGAATGATGATGTTTTTGGTGTGGCTGTGGTGAAACGTAATGACCGTGATGAGGACCAACAGGAGAGTGATGGTTCCAGTGATGGAGAATGTTTGGTAACTGTGTTGTTACAGAGGGTTACAGGTATGCAAGCACACTCCCACAGATGGAACTAATCATGCCTCCTGGGAGATAAGACACTGAGGAATTCCTGTGGGAGGAAGCTCCGAGGTGGGAGTGCCCTCATCTCTCGGTCTCACCAACTCCCCACTGTGGGTGTGAACGTTGAACAGGTGGTACGGCTGTATTCCACTCCAGTGGACCCCTCCACAGAAACATTCATTCAATTCCAAGCATCTCGTTTCCCGAAATCTACCTCTAAAAACCAGTTTAAAGTTTCTATCTCATGGTGAATACAGCATGTAGAGATGTGGTCTTCTCCACAGCCCCCCTGCCCCGCCCCGCAGTCTGAGCAGGCAGCGATGCAGCCCTCAGACGCAGTAAGTGGATTAACTCTGACCTCGCCACAGTTAACATGGACAGAAGGCCTGCTCGTCACACAAACAAAGCGGGGGAGAAAGAAAACATACAGTATTTACACACACACACACACACACACACACACACACACACACACACACACACGTTTTGCCTGATACTGTGCGTCTGTTTTATTTAGTTTGTATGTGTATCAGCTGTAATCCTATTACATCAGTGGGGAAGCTGAAATCCAGAGGTGCATGTGTGTGTGTGTGTGTGTGTGTGTGACCTGGAGGAGGAGGGAGTGTGTGTGTGTGGCGTACCTGGACGAGCTTGTCCCGCTGTTTCACGCCCACTCTCTGTGCCGGAGAGTCGTCGTCCACCGCTCGGATGAACTGGCCCGGTTTGGACTTCTCGCTGTGCAGGTTGAAGCCGTAGCCGCTGGCTCCCTTCTTCATGTGGCAGAGACGAGGCCGCGGCCCGCCTCGCTCCTCCTGCACACAGACAGGAGAACATCCACCGTTCACTGAAGGGTGTGAGCAGGTCCCTCTCTATTTAATGTCAATAATATACATCCATGTGGACTTCAGCAGTATTAATAACACTCACTCCTGTGTCCCCAACGGCTGCTGAGATTTCAGACTTTCTAGAAAGTTTGATCGCACAATTGTTCACAATCTTAAAAGACTTGTATGACGTAATCGGTTACAGAAACACATCGATCTGCATAACGTTTAGCTCCACCCTGTTTGGGGGAAATCCACGCTTTGACGGCGAGCAACCATTCTCTTGTGACGCTCCATCAAAGCGTGGATTTCAGGGTGGAGCTAAACCATTCTCTTCAGTGTGGGAGAACACGGAGACCCAACAATGTGTTGCTGTGTAAATTCGGAAAATTGGAAGTGGGCTGGCTTATCGCAGCGGTAAATCTGGTCTGCACAAACACTTTTCAGAAAGAGAAAAATCATCCCCAAGCGCTTTGTCAAGACGGCAGCAGGGACAAGACAGCACTGATACATGAGGCCTACAAACACATACACAAAGGGTTTCTGTCGGTGGTAATCTGACCGGTCGAACCCTCTCCACTCATTCTGCAGCTGCTCTAATAAAGGCAATAAAAGACACAAAAATATCTTTTAAAAAAACAAAAAAACGTTCTGGTAACGTAACGTTACACCATGCGTCATCTGACATTGTTATTTGGCTGTTTTATATACGACAGACTTTATTTTTATTTTCCAGTGATCATCTCATCATATTACTCCAGTGACGATATCATAACCATTAGAAGTGTTAGGTCAAGTACAATCCCTGCCTCTCCAGTTCAGGAGGAGGGTTGCTGTGACACACGGTGATTAAACTAAGTTGTCACAGCAATCCTCAGAATCAGACAACACACAGCAGCAGCAGCAGGGGGAGAGGCCGGTGAGCACAGGACCGTTTGGGATTAAAGGACGTGACACATGCTACTTAACGGCTGCTTTCGCCCAGTGCCATGTCCATCCATTTTAGTGCAATTAATCTTAGATTTCTCCGATGCGGGGGGGGGGGGCTCTTCCATGTGTTTTACGTCAATCTGAGATCCCACACCAACACAATCAATACAGGTTTGCTGTAAATGACGAGCTATGGACGTCACGTAACTTCCCTATTTACACAACGGGCGCACAATGCTCATTTGACAAACGGCATTGAGTCAGACCTGAAAAAGCACAACATGAGGTCATAAACATGCACAGGCAGAAACAAAAGTCAGCTGACTTCCTTTACCAACTGAATGAATCAGCAGCAGGTCTCTGCTAATCCTGCGGTGGCCTACTGTAGACCTGGTTATGTGTCTAATCCCACGTGAAGGACCTCACTTCAGCTGTTAACATCAGAGCACTGCTGCATGAGCTCCGGCTTTATTACAGGACTACTGGAAATCATTGCTGAACGGAATCCTATTACATAAGCTCCATAAAGAAGGCGTCGACATTTTCCAATACGCCAATATCACTTTTATTCTTCCTAGTGTTGTTGCTGCCAATTGTACTTTAAACTTGCACAATCGAGATAATTAGATAGTTTCACACTCGTTTGGCTGTGAACATTGTAGATGTGGTCCAGCCTGGTGGATGTGTTGCAGACATACAGGCAGAAAAGAACATTCTGGGATACTATTATTATTTCACCTTTTCTCAGAGTGATTTGTCTTCCACAGCCTCTAAACTAGCCTGATAGACAGAACCGTCCACTCGGTGGACGGCACGGATTCAACCTCCAAACCCGTTTACAGCCAACACGTGCACCGAGCAGTTATAACAGGCGTGACCAATCGAGGCTCTGATAAAATGCACCTCATTCACGTGATAAAAAGCACCGCTATCTACAGCGTTGTCACATATCTGTAAATGATTCCCTGCAAAGTGACCATTTCAGATCCACCGTGATAACCTCAGCGTTCTCAAGGCGTGTCCCCACCTCGCCCACTCAGAGTGGACTCTGCGTCGGTCCGAGGGTTTCTGTGGAGTCGGGGCGGTTGATGATTGCTGAAATGCTCTGAGTGAGTCAGTGTGATCTTGGGAGGACCTTTGGATGGAATCATTTATCATCATCATTTATGACAAAGCCCACATAAGCAGTGGCTGAAGACGATAAGGGAACAGGTGAGGTGCAAAGTGCACCGCATGCCAATCAAGTTTTCATGTAATCTGCAGCATTCGCAGCATGCAGTACTCCACGCTCCGCTCTAATATGGCACGGAACCTGTGGAGACACTGCAATTACCAACGTTATCAACGTTATATAAGCAGTCAGCAGGTTTGACACACGTTATGTGGGGAATACTTCATGTCCTGCATTCTGGTGAATTACTGCATCAATTTATTGTGGAAATGTTTCATCAATTTCTTATTTTATTTTTTCAAAGTATAAAATGACTTTAAGGCTCTCAGGTATTCTGTTTTGCTTTCAAATATTTATTATTCCCTGCTGAGTCAGCACATGTAGGAATGATTTACTTTCCCTCCTCTCTCTTGTGTCTTTTGTTTGGGGAAGTAAGCTCTTTAAATGTGCATGTGGCACATTTATTAATACATTCATTAATTTAATTACATGTATAAGCCCCTGGCCTTTATTAGCTCAAATGTGTTTCAGCAACATTTATGCTCATCTTCAAAACTTTAGACACATTCAAGACGTATCCCACCTATGTATTAATAAGGTCATAACATTTTGAGAATAAAGTTGTGATATTTGTAAGACTAAATTTTGTAATTTATTGATAATAAAGTCATAACAGCTGCTGTGCATTATGTTACTGCTCTGTTTCTTCAAACTCAACATCTGAAGAGACGTTGTGCAGATGTTCAGGGAGACTAAAGATCTAATTGTTGTTGCTGTTATCTGCATTATTTAGTAAATTTTATGAAAAAATGACAATGCCTCTGTAAGTTATTAAAGATAATATTTGTAAGCCAACGTTATGAATGAAGCATTAAACTGTTGGGGAGGCCTCAGGGTCCTAGTTGAAACGGACAGTGTGAAACATATTACACACTTGCAAAGTAAAAGTTAAAGTAAAAAGTCTTCAGGTGATCAGCTTGAATTGGAGGAAGATAATGGATGCTGTGCTTTTACATTAGTAGTAGTATTAGTGCGTGCAGTGCACTCATCTGAGCAGCTGGTTTATCTGCAGTGGTACTTTGACCGGCCGGGACAAACGGACAATAATAAATCACTTAATTATGGAAAATTTACAACGAGCCCCCGATAAAGAATTTGACACAGACGGCATTTCATAAAGTTTCCCCTAACTCGACAACTCACAAAACGGCGTGATTTTTAAGAGATTTTAACCCTTTAAATGGTGGTGATGTCACGACACTGTACACGTCCTTTGGTCATCTTTGATGGACAGACATTATATTCAAAGACGTAGCAGCATCGTTAATCAAGCTGATGCACGAAAGAAAATATCGAAATATGTTTATGATGGAAATTTCAAATCCTTTGTGGACATGTATTTTTGATACAATCAAACAGTGTATATTTGTGGCTGTATGTGCAGGTCTATGGTGACTCCCTCTGCATCAATTCAAGGAATCGAGGACTCATCTTTGATCCGGATACGTCCTTTAACTCCCACTGTAGTGCAGAATGCTAATCTTAACTATTACTAACATGTTCTCTCGCTCTCTCTGAAACATTCCAATCACAGCGTGTCATCTCAAAGGCATGTGAAAACATGTCGAAGTTGATTCTGACGCCCAACAACAAATGACATTTGTGACGTGTACCTTCAGCCTACTGCTTTGGGATTTGGCCTCCAGCTCAAACGGAGACGGAATCTAGCCCGTCTGCATGCTTATGGTCTGCAGCAGTGAACACAAACAATACGAAGAAGACCCTCGGAGCGAGTGGAAGACAGACAAAGAATTCTTTCACATCAGTGGAACACAATGCATGCTGCATTTCAAGAGACATTTTGAGTACTACTTTCTGACTTTTTTCAGGGTTTCAAGACACGCACAGGAAAACCACAGTGTCAGCAGAGCCGCACAGCAAACCAGTCTCAGTGACAGCCGGTGGCGTTTGATAATGACACTGCTGGGTAAAGTCCCACTGAGTGTCTCCAACATGCCGGCAATGAAACAAGGTTTGTTGCAACAGCAAACATCCGCTACTGAAGGTAACCGTCAGAGATGAAGCTTATCTGAGATGTCTGGTGATGGGCCCACGGTAACAATATGATAAACCAATGACCCCTGCAGTGGAAGACTTAGCGGCACAGAAATCAGCCGTGTTGGCGTGCGGCGCCTCGTCACACACATGCTGTTGCGAGTCCAGTGGAACATACCGTATCTATACGTCAACACATCCATGAAAGAACACAAACTACAACGTGTCGCGCTCATACGTTTACCAGCTCACGAGGTTTCAGGAGCTCAGCCTTTCAGAAAAATAAAAACTTAATATAAAGAAATAAATCTAAAAGTGTGAAAACCAAAACTCGTCTGTGCACATATGCATGTCATTTTGGGGGTTGGGTTGCTTGGGGTACCATGACAAAAAATTTCTCGACTGCACAAGACAAGCACACTAAACAATGATTCATTGCTAAAAACAGGCCCCCAGTAAAATCTCCTGTTTGGAAAACAATGTTTAATGTTTGCCTTTTTCAAGCCTGTCCTCTGCAGAGAGGTGAAAGGTCAACCACAGAGCACTGGTGGGGATTCTGCACAAAAGGGACCAGAAAAAGGAAATATCGGTTGCAGAGATCTGGCTGCGGGCCCAGTCGTGTGCCTGTGCAAACACAGAAATAACATCTGGCTTGGGATCTGCTACAAATAGCCACCGTGTGAACGCAGGATTTAGCCTATTTAAGTGCGATGGTACAAGAGGCAGCAGGCAGCCGGTGTAAACATTCCCTAAGCTTGTTGAATATCAGAGGTTAATGGTTTTACAGCTTGCTGTAGTTAAACATCAGATCCTGTGCTCCGATCCTGTCACATAATGAGGACCTTGAACCGAGGCTGAAACACTAAACCATTTATGTGCCATTTGAAACCTTTATGACGATCTCTGGGCACAATTCTACAGAGAGAAAGGGCTACGTCTCAAACAAAGTGTGGGAGAACTGAAGGAGCCATTTCTGTAGAACCGCCCATACAGATTGTCCTCAAACACGTCAGCGTCTTAAACTTTTTTGCTACAGTCCAAGCATTGGGCTTGTGCAACTGAATTTATCATTGCCTTTGCTGAGTCCCGCCCCTGTAACACAGGCTGACCAATCATAGCGGGGCAGGCGGCTTTGACCAGGGACCAACCAACTATCCGGATCTGTTGTCATGCAATGGTTTCAGATTAATCTTGATTTTTTTTAGGCTGGTTTAGTTGATTTGGAGCTAGTCGTGGTTGAACGTTGTGTGATCGTGATGCTCGTTACCCTGAGAGGTTGGAAAGTGATAGTCTTAAACGTTTCTGTGTAAAAACCTGTGGAGCCAACGATGGCAGGGAATGCTACCACTGAATCAGCTAGCGTTAGCACTTCTATGCTACACGAGCTACTCAAGATATACCGAGTGTAAACACATGCTGCTAGAGTTGAAAGACAAATAATTCCTTCAAGAAACTGCTCACAACAAGGTCTGTGGATTATCTTGAGTATCAATAGTCACGATTTCTGGAAAGAGACATGCTGTCTATTGCTGGTTTACATAATACATAACTACACAGACCTGCATGTAGCATTATGGTTATTATTAACTGGCTGAGACAAAAAACACAATGTGGCTTCAGCACTATAGCAACTCGCTACAAGGACAGGAAGTGGTTTCATCATCGGTTCCACCCCAACAGCTAACAACCCATATGCTGATAAAGTGTGTGTGTGTGCATGCATACAGGAGTGGCCTCGACAAAAGAGTTATGAAAAATGAGTTCATATACCACTCAGAAACTCAGCAGCCTCTGATGAAGGATGTGTTCTAATAAGTGCAACAGCAATGTGACGGGCAGAGAACAAGAGTTGGTACTAAATATGGGTGCTGGTGAGAGAAAAAAAAAAAAAAAAAAAAAAAAAAAAAAAAGGACTGCGACGTAAC